TTCTGGCCTTAGTTTAGACACAGAGCTGTCTCTCAAGTTAACTAATTCTGGTTGGAGCAAGGCAGTTGGTAGCTTTCACCTAAACTGGTTGGATTTAGAACTGTGTGGGAGCCTAATTTTAACACAATATGTTAACTCCTGTGAAAATGAAGGATATCTGTGTCCTCATGGGATTCTAGTTTGAGGTAGTCTGTTTTTTTTTCCATTTCCTATTGTACGTAAAAGTCAAGACCAGGCCAGCGGGAAAGAGGACAGGGTAAATGGTGAGGTCTCAAATCTTATTTCCATCCCAGTGCCATTGCCAGCGCATCAGAGAGGGTAATACCGTTGTGCCTGGCAGAAAGCACACTGACAGATGAGCACGTCATCATGATCTGTCCTCTCCCTCTCTGAAGCAACTGGGGGATTAAGAAGGAATTGGAATTGCTCTCTTAAATTGAATGTATAGTAGAAATGCTTCTGCCTTTATTAACACAAGTTGGCATGTTGTATCAGTTATCATGTAGGGGTGAAAGCTGTAAAAGTATATAGAGTTTCAGGCAGTTTATTCCCTTTTCAGGTTCTGAAGAGAGTTTGCTAGCCTAATGTAGCCAAATGTATAGTATATATTTAGCTAATGCTGGCCTGATTGTATATTTAGCTGCTCTGATAAATCCTGCCTTTCCCTGTAGATCTCGCCTAGGATACACACAGGGGCAATCCTGGGAAAGCAAAGTAGACTGCACCAGTGAAACTGGTGGTCTGCTAACAGTTGCATCCAAAGCAAACACTTTTATTTCTGTAGCTGTGGTGATGATAGATCACACCTCCTCATATATCTAACATAAGTATTGCAGCAGAGATGTGCCACAGAGGTCACACCTACTGTACTTTACACCTATTTAACCACTGTAAGCTTATTTAGCAGCTATTCAATGGCACTGATGTTTATTCAGAGCAGATTGTGTTCTTATAATCTAACCTCTCTCTTTCATTTTATACTAGCCAAAATTACACTCATCCACTATTTTGGATATCTTTTCCATGTTTTAAAGATATTTTTAATACAACACCACCGGCAAAAGTAAAGAGAACTTTCAGTAAAATTCCTTTCTCAGTGTAGTCCAGCAACTAAGATTTCTTCCCAACAATACTTTAATTGCTCATAGACAATTGGTGCTTTCCGTCCTGCCTTCTTCATCTGCCCTAGTGGAAAAACAGGTGTCCACAAGATCAAATGAACTTAAGTATGATTTAGAGTAAGTGTGGAAATTATTCAAAAATTCCCATGAAGAAGCCTTATGAAGTAGCAGTGTGGAGATCCCTCTTCGGGTTATGTGATAAAGCAGTACCGTGCAGGGAAAGTGATCCTCAAAGTAGGCAGATTAAAAATAATTTAGAATCAAACAATGATTTCATATTCCTCTTGAAAGCTAAGAGGGAACAAGTATAAAACTCTAGGTACAGTCTTGATATGTTTCTAATGGAGGCATATTTTTCCACTTAGCTAAAATTCTGGATTAAATTCAAACTGTAATTGTATATAAAAGGGCTTTGTAGCAGACTGGCCTCAGGCTGAAAAAAGCACAGCTTATGACTGTTACTTCCACTCCAAAATAAATAGTAGCAATTTCATGACAAGGCGTATATGAAAAAAAGATAAGTCTGTTGACTGCCCTTAGTATAAAAATACTGAATGAGTTCAATTTTAAAATATTAAAGTAAAAAGAAAAGATAATGAGAAGGCAAGGAGACATTTCCTGTTGACTTCAGTGGGTCCTGTCAAGTCTGTATGTTTCAAACTTTCCCATTCATTGTTTCTTTTCTCTTTATGTGAAGGATGCCATCCAGCTGCATGCCTTAACTGAAAATAGGTAAGAGTATGGAAAATTATTGGCTTTACTCTGAGCTAATTATGCAAATGCATACACCTCCCTCTGCGTGGTGTTAGTTTTTTATTATGGTGATGATAAAAAGATGTAAAAGTGCTACTGTCTGATTCTGTGTCGGATGGTGAGCTGACACACATGCAGAAAAAAAGAGATCCTTTATTCTCTGTATTTTCCCTGATTAGCTGAAACCAATTTAGTTTTTAATCATATTATATATGCATTGAGTTCTTCATTTTTAACAACAAGGTAGTTATTTTATTGTATCTTATCTTTCATTTTTAACAGTGAAATAATTATCCTGTTACTTTGACTGAAGGAGAACCCTGTCTGAGAATATACTGGTACACGTGTGTGTAAGTCCTTATTGTTTAACTTTCTGTATGTGGACAACACAGAATTTAGAATATTACTGGCCAACTGGACATCCTATCAAAGGCTAGAAATTGCTTTATGTTTGTCTGAGGTGCAGGTCACTTCCCCTTGAATGTGAGTACGCAATTAATCAGTAATTTTTTCCTATGTCACTGACAATATTAAACAATATTAAGCTCTTAAAATGTTCAATATAAGGAGGTTTGCTTGCTGGTAATTCTTCACTGGTACTTGCATGTAGAGACCCTTCTATAGCCCATTTCAGCTCATACACTGTGTAGCCCGTTGGTAACCAAAACAGGTGTTACTAAGCCTTGAAGAAGTCTCACCCAAACTTATAATTTGTATTAATTATAACTCTCCAATATTATAACCGTTCTTAATTCCTAGCTAATCGTGTTTACTGTCAACAATTGTACTATTTGTCAGGCCTCCATACATGTAATTACCCAGGTCATCTGATAAATCCTAGGAAAACATTGATTTGTGGGGGTTTTTTTAGACATGCATTGTCTGTGAATATCACCCTAATACAATGACTTCTTGTTGGCAAGCTTTAGTGAAAAATTGTCCTTTTTGATCAGTAAATGGGAATTAGTAATCGCTACTGAAGTCGTTACACTGGCAGTTGTGTGTGTTATTATATAATTTATTTTTCTGTAATGTCTCTCTAAAAAAAATAGAATGTTTTTGTCACAGATGATGTACGTACCTTCTCAAAGGTCATTAAGGCGGGGGGGGGGGAAATGTCAGGGACTTAGCAAGCGAGCAGCTGCACGGTCCTTGTTGCTGGCTGGGATTAAACCATGACACTTAGCAATACCAACCCACCAAACTCATTCTGATGGGACAGTTAAGCTTTAAGACCATTAGAAAATACAGGTTCCTTAGTTGTCTATGCGTATAAATTTTAAGTGATTTTTTACAAGCTTTTTCTACAGAATTATTGTCTTATTTCTAGGTTTGAGGCCAAAAGGTTAAAAATGGAAGGGCAGTAATTCATTTGGCAGTTAGTAACTTCCAAATGTCTGTCCTTGGAAAGTAATTTTCTTTTCATGTAATATATTTATACGCTATATATACTTTAAGACTGTATTGTTTTCAGTGACATGCAAGCCGTAAAGTCTTACATGGAGCAAACAGAAAATACTCAGAAAGGCTGGAAATAAAAACTGTTATTAATCACTAGAAAGATTTCATAGCTCTTTTCGTGTCTCATCATCAGTCTATATTTAGAATGGCAGACAAATTTGTTGAATGTTAATGTTTTCTGAATCAGTATCTGCTCACAGCAGATTAGGAATCCAACACTTCATGTCCTTTTCTATAGAAATAATGTGTGTATTTCTCAAGTCGTGTTCTTCATGCCTAGTATAAGATTGATTGGCTCTGATACTGTTCTAACTTTTGAGATAAATGGTGGAGGAGCATAATGTGATGCTGCTTCATGTCACTGTCAGAAAAATTACCATAAGACTTACAGGTTAGGATTCATTTGTTATGTTGTTAAGAACTCATGGAGTAGGTGTAAGTTTCAAAGCAGCCAATTAAAAAAAAAAAAGAAAAGAAAAAAGCGGGGGTGGAGAGGGTGGAGCCTGCAAAATTACAGATGGGTAATCCAGATTTTGGCAACTGGAACAACAGGCCCTAGAACAACAACAGCAAAGCACTAGCACTGTAGGCCACAGCAGGTAGGCTACAGTATGACAGCCTGTAGGAGCCGGGACGGCTTTGTTGAGAAGAACGTCAGACCAGTTAAATCTCCCCTCACATCTGCTGCTTCCCCTCTACCCACAAGACCTGTTATCCTGTCATCGATCTCCACCTAGCAGAGCTTTCAGCTTCTCAAAGGAAGCACTCACACGGAAGCTAGGGTGACATAAATGAAACTGCTGGTGAGAGGATGCAAACTTGGGCTGCGTGAGTGGTTCGTGTGATCCAGTTTCCAAATACAAGGATGGATGAGGTGCACCTGCACAGTTTGTCCCGAGCTTTTAACTATTTATTTTCATTATGACATCGACGTTCTCCACTAATTGAGGGGACAATACCCGCCTGTGAACATGGTGACAGTTAGATGTAGAATTCCCAGTGGCGTTGATGGGTTGCGCTGGAGACCAGCCCGGGTTCAAGCACGCCCAGCAGCAGTGCAGCTCTGCAGGCATGGCTGGGGGACAGGAGCTGCCCGGCCCGACAGTTCTGCGGCACACGCGTGGCAAGCCAGCTTTCAATGTGGCGTGTGAAGAAAACGTGGACTAACTGGGGAGCCCCCGGGGACAGAAGAAAGGACGGTCGGCTGGAGGGTGTGATGGCTGCTCTCGGGCGCACGGCC